TAGTACGAGTATACATTATTATCTTTAGTGCCGGGGATCTCACCTATAGAGAGAATATCCAATCATTCCCTCTTTGCTTAAGCGAATCAAATTAAACGTATCAAATTAAATGTTTTGTTATCAAACTCGACGCGAGAATAACGAATTACATTTTAGTGCAAGAAATATATCACTACACTATTGGAAAATTCGTGTTTCTTTACAATATTAAAAAATATGCTGGTTAAAATTTTTGTATTAAATATTTAACTCATTCATATATTAATTTAACATATATTGCTGTTGTGTTAATTGAACTAAAATGTTAAATTATTAAAACGATAGATGAAAATGTAAAAATATCACAATATGCATATATGTTGAAATATTACACAGTATTAGTATCACCATTTAATCACATATCTATATTATGTTAAATTAACACAAAAATTTGTGTGAGGTAGTGCATCGGTCGCGATCGGTAGTGCAAGAAAGGGAGTGCAAGGGAGGGGAAAAGGGAGGGCGTGGGAATTCGCTGATTTATTCATCGATTTAATCCCTCGCACGGAGAATCGACGTCGTGCACATGGTGTGCTGCGTCAGATGCGACAGAAGCCCCCGTAAGTCGATCCTTACCGAGAGAGGATCGATCCTGTCGTCTTCTCTCCCACGCGAAGCGCGATTTCCAAGAGCGCGGGCAGCGAGAGATTCCCTCCGTTTCCATTTCTCCGCCGGGACACATTACGACCCAGTCCCCCGAAGGATCCGCGATACCGATACCCGGTCTTCCTGCCTACACAATGCGACACCTAAGCCGAGCGAAACCATGGGTTGGCCATTTTTTTTACTCTTGTTAGCTATACTCGATATTATCGTCCCGACGTGTCGCCGTGACAATACCGCAATTTTTCGATTTCCGACTTACTTTGCTCACGTCCGTGGAATATTGGAGATCTAGAGATAATAAAAAGATATGATTAATCGATATGATAATATTCGATATGATAATCGAATTTAAAATTTTGCAAAAAATCTACTGATAGTATGTCAAGAAGAAAGACGCAGATGTATCATATATACATATATGAATCAATTGATGTAAAAAAAAAGAAATAATTGTTTAAAAAAATACATTGTAAATAATTACATATTTTTTCTTAGAAACAATTATTTTCTTTATACCAATTGATTTTCATTATTCTATACATAAAAGTATTACGATAAGATGATTGAAAACTAAATATTTTACGAGATATTTTATATTCATTTTATATTATCAAAATATGTCAGAGTAAAATATAAAATAACTTGAAAAATACTTAATAAAAAAATACTTTATTATAGTGTTTTGAAAAGAAGGACTATAAGAATATGTAATAAAAAACATAGGTTTCCATTTAAAAAAAGTAAGTTGACCTTGACTTGATCTTGGCAACGCCATTTATGGTCAAATTGCTGTTGAATGCGCCTATTTAAACATTATAACTTTTGTCTAAAACATTTTTTTTTACATGCATTGTTTATAAGATGTTCGACCACTTGCGGATTTTTGAACTACCCTGTATTATATAGAAATAATAAAATAAAGATAAAAAATTGACAAAAATTTCCACAGCACGGATTATTATTATTATTTTTTTTTTATGTGTATTGTAGAGGGCACAGTCCCAAGTAATAAACGCTTTGAATTTTGTGACAGTTTTTTTTTACATTAATTTTGAAATATTATAAATTTCGTACTTTCTCTTATTTCTCATCATCTCTTTTCGTTATATTCTACATTTGTATTGCTTCCTTATAGAGGAAGCTTTGTTTTTGTGACAAAATTTTTTTCGAGTTTTCTATGCCAATGTGTTTAGAATGTTCTAAAACGTCTAAAAATCATATTCCTAAAAAATGTCTGTATAAATGTATGTATGTATGTATGTGTATATTTCTTTTGCTGACACTTGTTTGTTATTGTGTCACTATTAGTACGCTTCAGGATTACTGTTTAGTTTCGTTGACAATAAGAATTTCGAAATATTGTAAGTACAATTTACGAGTTCCTGATAGCCGTTGTTTTATTCTATTGTAAGGTAAACGCATTGACAAGAAAAAGGCTCCGACTCTTTCCTTGCCGTCTCTTCCCCTCCCCAAAGAAATTTTAACCTAAGCCAAACCTAAATCTGAAATTAGGTTTGGTTTAAGTCAAAAGGGAAGGGGATACAGGGGTTTTGCCCTTTCTAAAATAAAACTATAAAATACACGGTTTAAAACTTTCATAAAAAAAGTTTAAAATAAATAAATTTAATATACTTGCATATTTAAATGTCTAAGTTAATGTTTAATGATTAATAGCTTAATGATAAATGCTTAATAATGATAAGAATATTTTTGTTGAGAATCATAATCTTGAAAACATGTGTCAAGATTAAAGGACTAAATTCCTCTTCCTAGAAATTTCACATTTACAATCCTTTTATTTAGTTTACTTTTACATTTACAATATTTCAAGGTCGCATATTTCAGGAACCAAAATTCAAAGCGTGTATTACAATGAGAAATGTACTTTCTCTCTACAACATATATCACAAAAGAAAAATGATCCACGCTGTATAAGTTTTTGTCAACTTTCTCTTTTTTACTCTGATACACACACACATATATATATACAGGGTGCGGCATTTATAGTGACGCGGGCATATTTGTCGGAAACGAAGTGAGATATCAAAAAATGTTTCAGACAAAAGTTGCATGGT